TATAAAATGCTATCAAGTTTGCCATCTCCAAGTTTTACTAACCATTCACTATAAGCAGAATTCTCTGATCTCATATTTGTTTTAAAAGACAACAAAGACAACTTTCTGAAACACCCCCAAACATTACAGTACTTTAAACTCGTTTGTACTATGGCTGATCGCATAGCATGTGGTACAATACTGAGACATTGTTGAAAATTCCCGAGAACTTTCCCACCAAATGCAACATTGAAATTCATCATTTCTCTTAGTAATCTGTCTATGGAGTTTATAGCAGGACTAGATGCCATGGTGCATTCATCAATAATGAGAAGTTTGGCCTTTTTAATGGTTTTAGCAACTTCACTCTTTATATTGAGTCTAGAAATTGAAGTTTCATTTAATGGAATTGGTCATTTATACTGGGAATGAAAGATTCTTCCACTGAGAAATTTGCAGCAATTCCTGTAGATGCTGTAGGTAAAACAGTACCACCACGACCTCTAATATAATGTATTAAAACTTTATAAAGATATGTTTTTCCACTACCACCTGGACCATCCAAGAGAAAGCATTTGGGGCATACAATTTGATCTTCGATGGCTGAAGTTATAGTCTGAAAAGCAGCTTCACCTAAGCGCTGGGCAGGCCTGCGCCTCCGCTGGGCGCCGGGGCGGAAGTCCCCACCCCCGTCTCCACCCACCAGCTCCAGTCATGACTGGAACACCATTAGGACCAATTAGCATATTATCTCTTTATACATATACATATACATAAATGGGTACTGATAAGCATTTAGAACTAGAGTCATGAAATTTTGAACTGGAAGAAAGCTTACAGACTGTTTATAATATAGAAATTATTATAACCAGTTTTATTAATGAGGAACTAAGGTCCATAGGGGTTATGTAAATTACCCAATGTCACAAACCTGTAAATTGTGGAGCTTAGCTTAAATTACATTAGGCTTGGTCCCAAATTTAGATTTAGTTGGTCCCAAGTCCATGTTCTTTCCTCTATACCTATATTGCCTTTGTGTTAGATGATTTAAGGTATGGGCAATTTTTTACAGATAAATAGCAACTTAGATGGCCCCAGATATTTTAATCACTTCAAAGGAACCCTTACATTAAAACTTGTCATCTTTCTTTAATACATATGTCTACTTATTTTTTGATTCCTACATGAGATTGAAAAACAAAAAGTACACAAAATCGGAAACAGATATACTTAACACAAAACATGTATTCTTAGAAACATTGTTAACTATGTTTAAAACAATTTTTTAACCTACTAAAGGAAATTGTAATATAAACTCTGAGGTCAATAATTTTGCACAGCTAATAAGAGTTTTATAAGCTTGAATATCTTTTCTGACATATCTATGCTATATTCAAAAATTTATCATTAACCCACATTCAACTGGCATTTAGTTATAGTGTTTCTTTAATTGGTCATCATAAGCCTACTTAGCTACAATTTAAGTTAATATGATGAACATCTGTCTCCTATTTCAAAGAAAAGTGTATAAACAAAAAAAATATATGGTAAAACCTATTTTAAATTCAAAAGTCTGTTGTATTTGGCACTGTACTTTTCCCTGTAGTTCTACTCTTTTCATAATAATTAAAAAAAAACACCTCAATTTTTTTTATTCCATTAAATACCTTAGATGCATGTTCTAAGTACTGTTTTCCTGCAGACATCTGAGTAAGCAGACGGAACTTGTTGTCCTGAAGTACATAGATGCCCTGTTCCAAAAAACAGAAAACACATCCAAAGTCACTGTAGTCTGCAGTCCTTAAAAATTACCTTTTCTTCAAAATAATAAGAGCTTTCTAAGTTATTAAAACTCCTTTCTATTGGCCAACTTTTCTTTATTTACTGATTGATTTTAGAGAGAGAGAAAAAAACATCAATTTGTTGCTCTACTTATTTATGCACTCACTGGTTGATTTTTATATGTGCCCTGATTGGGGAATCAAACCTGCAACTTTGGTGTATAGGGATGACGCTCTAACCAACTGAAATACCCAACCAGGGCCTCAAATTCTCTTTGAGTGAAGGAGTTCTGCAATGTTCAAGCTCAAGAGTTGTTCAGTATTATATAACTATATATTTACTGAATGCTTTTAGATACTGAAGATAAAAAGATGCATAAGACATAGACTCTATCCTTAACTCACAGTCTAGTGCAAAAGAATCACCAATCCAGGTAAAATCAGCAGTTATATATTATTAACTCATATCTATGAAGCCAATCATCAGTCACTTCTTCCGATTAGTATTTCAAGTACTTCTAAAGTCAGGTTGATACTGTTATATGAAAAAATAAATTCTACAGATAGCTACTAGATACATTCTTTTCTTTTTTTATACTTAAAGGGCCAAATCCACTCTAAATACTTCCTTACATGGATTTTAAATGCACATTTTCCATATAGTCTATTGATTTTTATATTAAAATATTTTAACAGAAACTATGACAGCAACTAAACAATACAAGACTAACTTAAGAGCTAAAGATGTTCCATAAAATGGACTTCAAAAATTACTCTAAAGGCATAAATGTGATATATTTGTGGTTCTGCTTCTTTTTTTAAAAAATATATTTTATTGATTTTTTACAGAGAGGAAGGGAGAGAGAGAGTTAGAAATATCGATGAGAGAGAAACATCGATTAGCTGCCTCCTGCACACTCCTACTGGGGATGTGCCCGCAACCCAGGTATATGCCCTTGACCGGAATCAAACCTGGGACCCTTCACTCCGCAGGCTGACGCTCTATCCACTGAGCCAAACCGGTTTCGGCGGTTCTGCTTCTTATTACCTAAGTAATAATAACTAAGAAACTAAATCCTAAAACTTTATCATTCTGACATTGCTATTTTTTAAAACTTAAAATAACTTATTTAATTGGGGGAAAGAAACAGCTATCATAACTGATCATTGTCCCTTTGTCTTTATTCACTATATCCTATTAGAGAATATAACTTACTAATAACATATAAGAGAAACATTCCAAAGTTGAGTAGAAATTATTTTAAGTTTTAAATACATAAGTCACTAAAATAGGACATTTATAATAAGTTAAAGGACTTAAAAAATAGGCTTTAATTTATCGAAATACCTGATGATTTGTCCTGAGATTGTCGATTTGTTTCTTGAATACTGTAGTCCAGAAATCTTTACAAATGAACTTCATAATATCTAACTCATCCTTGAACCTCGCGGTATCTTTTGTAAACCTAAAAAGATCAACTAGAAGTAATACAGTATTTTTTCTCCAAAGAAAGTAGGAGGGGCAAATTGTTAACTAATTTCCAAATGCCAGAATAGCACTGAATATTGGTAGTCATAAAGTGATAAGCATCAAGCAAAGTAGATCCCATCTCAATAGATTTACATTCTTTAATACAATTATGGGGCTAAAATTGGTCTAACAGTAGAGTCTAACAGTAAGTTGCAGTTTTAGGTGCAATTCATCCTAGCACATCAGAAAAAGCTGAGGATGATCACGGTATTGTTACATAAAACAAAGTTCAACTATTTAGAGAGAAAGGAATACTAAAAATTGTTCTATAAATTAGAAGATGACTGCATACATAAACATAGACTCTAAAGCATTTCCACCTATGCATTTAAACAAAATATGCATTTAAACAAAATATATTTAGGTTAAAAAAAACCTATGGAACAAAATTTTAGATAGCTACTTTAGTACATCAAAGTTTTCAAGGAAAAAAAGGCTCAAATATATAAAATATATATTTTCTTCAATATTAAAACATAATAGTTGAATAACTGAGTTAAAATAACATAAGACCTAAAAAGAAATTTCAATTTGTGAATTAAAGAACAGAGAAGAATTAAAGTATCTCAAGTTTTTTTAAAAAATATATTTTATTGATTTTTTACAGAGAGGAAGGGAGAGGGATAGAGAATTAGAAACATCAATGAGAGAGAAACATCGATAAGCTGCCTCCAGGATCTCAAATTTTATGCAATCTTTTGAAATGGATCATCTTTGTTCATAACCTACCTGGAAGAAAATTTTCAAATCCAGACTGCTCACCTTTCTATCAATCCTTGTCCCACTCGAAACCCCATGTTTTCCAGCTTAGTAATACAGCGTCCATTTTCCTATTTGAAAAAATAATACCTTAGAATACTTTTAGAATGTCAGAATGTTGGCATTCAAAATTGTTTTAAAATGTTGGCTAAAAAAAATTAATGTAAACATTTATACTTTCTTAATTGAAACATTACAGAAAAAAGTGAATTTTCTTAGTACTAATCATTTTCTTAAGGCAATAAGATAAATAGGGAACTGTTGCTTATTATTACTTTTCAGAAATGTTGAAGCCTCTTCATAATTATTCTCCCCCTACTTGTTTTCCCCCATTCAACAATTCTTCTCTCCTCAGTAGTTATAAAACTTGGTATCAGGAGCATTCGAGATCTTGTTTCCCAGGAACTGTCCTCAGTTTTGGCTCAAATAAACTCTTATAAAATTCTCTAAAAACAAAAACAGCCTTAGCCGGTTTGACTCAGTGGATAGAGCATCAGCCTGTCGACTGAGGGGTCCCAGGTTCAATTCTGGTCAAGGCATATGCCCGGGTTGCTGGCTTGATCTCCAGTGGGGGGCATGCAGGATGCAGCCAATCAATGATTCTCTCTCATCATTGATGTTTCTCTCTCTCTCTCTCTCTCCCTCTCTTTCTTTCCCTCCCTTGCTCCCTTTCCCTTCCTCTCTGAAATCAATAAAAATATATTTTAAAAAATAAAAAATAAATAATAAAACTTGGTATCACCTTTGATTTTTTCTGTCAGTCATTCACTTTGTATGGACATTAAGTTCTATTGTTCCTTGTTTCAAAATGTCTCTTAAGAGTTATCCAGGCTTTCTAATTCTGTGTGTCTATATTGATGACCCCATCCTATGCCTGGAATAATGCATTTGCTTTGTTCTTCCTTTGACAATGTCATCGTGTTAAGGCTTTAAATACTATCCCTATGCTGAAGACCCCCCAATTCCTCTGAATGACCTACAAATACCTATACAATCCAGACCCATGTACCTCTTGAACCTCAACCTTCTACTCTTCTTCACTCATTCTGTTCCAGCTGCACTGGTCTCCTTGCTGTCCTTAAACATGCCAGCCATGCCCTTATCTCAGGGCTCTTGCATAAGCAACTTTTCTTCCAGATATTCACAAAAATCAACCCCCTCACTTTAAGTCTTCGCTCACATGTCACCATCTCAAATGAGGCCCATTTTATTTTATTTTTGAGGCCCATTTTAACCATTCCTCTAAAATTGCAACCTCATTCCCTTTCAGCAACTCTCTATGCTAATGATTTTCAAAATGTGATTTTTCAAGACCAGCAACACCAGCATAGAAACCTATAATGATGACGAATTCTATAATTCCACCCCCAATTTACTGAATCAGAAACTGGGTGTAGGATCAGTAATCTGTTGTAAGACATCCTCTAAAAGTGATTCTGATGGCCTATCCCACTTCCCTGTTAAGTTGTCTCCAAAGAACTTATTTCACCATTTCATGTACTATATATACATTTTACTGTCTATACATTGCACTATATATACATTTTTATATTGCCGTGTCCCTCCATCTCCACCCTCCACTAGAATACAGCTCCAAGGGGGCAGGACTTTTTATATATTCTGAAGCCTGTTTGTCTTCCACTAAGAGGTATACCATGGGCCTCATTATTTGCTGAACTTTCAGTACCATGTACTCCACTTTGGAGGCTATAACTACTAAATCTGTATTTCTAGTATATACTTTATTGGACATAGCATCTAGAGGTCCACAGGCCCCTCAAATAGGCATATCTAGCCTACTTGTCCTCCAGAATTCCCTAACTTCATTAATGGCACCACCATCCCTAGTTACTCCAACCAGAAAACTTCCATTTTCTTCACCTCTTTGCTCCCAACCTTTCTCCACACACTGCTGTCCAGTCCTGTGGAGCCTATCATCTACATGTTTTCCAAAATACATCTTCTCTCTCCATCCTTACTGCTTAGGTTAGCCCTTTTCAGTCAGAACCTTCCAACTAATCTCCTTGTCTCTACTTTTTTTTCCCTTTGATTTATTTTCAATATTTATGTATAGACTTTCTAAAAAACAAATCATGTTATTTCTCTACTGGATCTCTCAGAAGCCATCCCCTTTCTTCAAAATAAATCCAAACTCCTTAGCATGACATTACGTGCCTTTCCTTAAATGATCCCTGGCTAGCCCTGGTTGGGTAGTTCAGTTGGTTAGAGCGTTGTCCAGATATACTAAGGCTGTGGGCTTGATCTCCAGTCAGGGCTCATACAAATATCAATCAATGAATGCATAAATATGTGTAACAACAAATCAATATTTCCCTTTCTCTGTTTCCCTCTCCACCACCACCACCCCCATCGGACTTTCTCCCCCTAAAAAATCAATCAATCAATACAAAATTAAAAAAAAAAATTAAAAACTGATCCCTGGCCCTAGCCAGTTTGGCTCAGTGAATAGAGCATCAGCCTGCGGACCAAAGGGTCCCGGGTTTGATTCCAGTCAAGGGCACGTACCTTGGTTGCAGGCTCCTCCCTGGTCGGGGCTCATGCAGGAGGCAACCAATCTATGTTTCTCTCACATTGATGTTTCTCTCTGTCTTCCCTCTCTCTTCCACACTTTCTAAAAATCAATGAGAAAATATCCTCGGGTGAGGATTAACAACAACAAAAACAAACCCAAACTGGTCCCTGACTAGTTATCCAGAATCACTAACAGCCACATATCCACAAACATCCTTCCTTCTACCGTTGTGAAACTTCTGCAGCATCTCCAGAGTTCCACACTCTCTTTTGCCCCTTCTTCTGCCTCCCTGCCTTTGTTAAAGTTGTTCCCTAAACTGCACATGCTTTAAATTCAGCTCAAGTATCACCTCCTCCCAGAAACCTTCCCTGATGCTCCTGTTTTCCTAGAGCACACTGTACATACATTTATTGTACTTATCACTACCCTTAGTTTTTCTGTTATTTTCCACACTCATTCCAAAACATGCTCAGGTAGAATAAGTACCTATAAGTCATGATTGTAGAACAATCTACTCTTTGTAGAATCATCCAGGAGCATGTGGGTTAGCAGGAAATACACTTACTATGTAGGCATTCTCAAAAACTATGATCACACGAACTTTTAAAATAAGCCCTAGCAAATACCTTCTGATGTTACTACTTCTTCATTCCCTTTGGCATCTGTGAGTGCTCACTAGTAGGCACCAAATTTTAAGAAAATTAAACTTGAAAATATTACCCATTAACTTTTCTAAAAAACCTCTTTTCCATAAGTTGGTAAATACCTAATTATTCAGTTTTTAGAGATTTAATTCCTCTTTAATATAGTTTGACAATCACTGATTTGGAGGGTGAGAACATTGGTTCTTTATTTCATTTCAAAACTTACAACTTTATCTAAAAAGATATATAAAAACCATTTATGGATGACAGGATTATGTATCTTTCTTTTACATTTTTAAAAAATATATTTTATTGATTTTTTCCAGAAAGGAAGAGAGAGGGATAGTTAGAAACATCAATGTGAGAGAAACATCGATCAGCTGCCTCCTGCACACCTGCCACTGGGGATGTGCCCTCAACCAAGGTACATGCCCTTGACCGGAATCGAAACTGGGACCCTTTGGTCCACAGGCCGATGCTCTATCCACTGAGCCAAACCGGTTAGGGCACTTTTACATTTTTTTTATTATGAAAAAATGTGAAGCACACTCAAAGTAGAGATGCTAACACAATGAACCCTCTTACACCCTGATTCCAACATGGATTCTAATCATCAAGATTGCCACATAACTTTTGTTTTTTAATATATTTTTAACAGAGAGGAAAGGAGAGGGATATAGAGTTAGAAACATCAATGAGAGAGAAACATCCATCAGCTGCCTCCTGCACAACCCCCACTGGGGATGTGCCCACAACCAAGGTACATGCCCTTGACCGGAATCGAACCTGGGACCCTTCAGTCTGCAGGACAGAGCTGAATCAACTGAGCCAAACCGGTTAGGGCTGCCACATAACTTTTAAAAATTACTTTGTTTATACGTACTTTACATTTTCCCCCACCATAAACAAGATGCAATAGGAAAAGTTATTTATTTTTATTTTTTTATTGATTTCAGAGAGGAAAGAAAAGGGAGAGATAGAAACATCAATGATGAGAGAGAATCAATGATCGGCTGCCTTCTGCCTTCTGCCGTCCTGGGGATCGAGCCTGCAACACGGGCATGTGCCCTCGACCAGAATCAAACCCAGGACCCTTTAGTCCGCAGGCCCACAGTGCTCTCTCTACTGAGCCAAACCAGCTAGGCCGCATGTTTTAAAAATTCTTGTGATACACCAGTTGAAAATTGCTGGCTTAAATTATCAGTCATGATCACAACAGCTCTGTTTGGTTCTTTTGGATTAATACATTAGGAAAAAGAGGAATTTTTTTTAAAAAAAAGATGGGTTTTCCTAGGCAAGAGCCGGAAGAGATAAAGTAGAGAGAGAAAATGAAGATTACTGGTTGCATGTTGAGGGCTAGGGGTGGGGGGTCAGGGATAGTATGATAAAGAGTAAAAGGGGTGTGCTACTCATTATTCTTTGGGGAAAAGGAAGACTAGCTTTAAACAAACAGTAAACATCTACTCCTCAGCACTTAACACAAATGGTAAACATTAATAACTCTTGGTTGTTGATGATGATAAAGTCAAAAACTTGTAACTTGGAAAAAATCTCTATTACAGATGGATCTGATAACAATAGGATTTGCTTCTTTTCCAGTACTCTTCCTGAAGTCTTCCTAATGATATCTCCCTAATGACATTTGCCACAGATTGGATGTTTGTGTCACCCCAAAATTCCTACATTGATGGTACTAGGAGGTGGGACCCTTGGGAGGTGAGCCCTTAAAAATAAGATTAGTGCCCTTATAAAACAACTCCCAGAGAGCCAGCTAGCCCCCTTCCACCACGTGAGGGCACAGCCAGAAGACATTCATTTATTTATGAACCAGGAGCGGGCCTTCACCAGACATATTCTGCTGGCACCTTGATCTTGGACTTCCCAGCCTCCAGAACTGTGAGAAATAAATTTCTGTTGTTATAAGCCACTCAGTCTACGGTATTTTTTTCCG